TTTAAAAGGAAACATTTCCTTTAGTTTTCTAGCAGGAAAACTGGTGAAGGGTTGGCTAAATCCTTAACCCACCTTTAACCTGGAGACTTCAGCCCCTGGTCAAAATATCCCGTCTTGTTGGAACGGAGACGTTAAGAGCAGGAGAGAGGGAGTGAGACTATAACTGGAGAAGGGCTTCCATTTTTTATGAGAAGAAAGAGGAGGAGACCTGCAGAGTTCGTATGTCAACAAGCATTAATTCTCATTAACGTCTTCCATTCACATCCATTCTTCCCTACACAGCTGTGCAAATATAAGTTAATTGGGTCATTTTGACCAAGGCAACCAAGAAAAAAAAAATTTAATGTGAGGCCAAGGAATTAATTACAAATAACACATTCTTTCAATGCGTGGGAAGGACTGTTCAAGCAATGACACCATGGATGGCGAGACATGTGTTCAAATGCACACCGCTGTCAATGCCCCTGAACAAAAAGCCACCCAAGAACAGAATGAGGTGGGAAGGTGTTCACAGTGAGAATGAGTAGCATACGCTCTCAAGTGCCTTGCCAGCACTGTGTTGTGGAAGCATCTCCTGTAAGGACAACAATAACACCACTATTCCCAGTTTGTATGCCGGGTAATTAGGAACAATAGTTAAACAACTTGCCAGATGGCCATTCAGAGTTAGAGTCGTCAGCAATTTAAATTCAGGTCGACTGACTCCAGGGACCGTGTTTCTGACCATGACACTCTCCCTGTTTTCTATATACTTGGCAGGACGTTGGCAACACAAAGCGTAAAGAAATGTAGGACCCATTTCTTGCCCTAAATGAATCTACTACCTGATTAGGAACCAGCATGGACACTCCTGAAATAATCAAAACACATGAGGGTTTGCATCTTTAAGAAAGTAATTCATGTGGCCAGGTGCAGTGGCTCACACCTGTAATCCCAGCACTTTGGAAGGTTGAGGTTGGAGGATCACCTGAAGCCAGGAGATTGAGACCAGCCTGGGCAACATAGCGGGAATCTCATCTCAATAATAAATTTAAAAACTAGGTGAGTGTGGTGGTGTGTGCCTGTAGTCTCAGCCTCTCCAAGAATGAGATGGAAGGTTATCTATCAAGTCCAGGAGTTCAAGGTGGCACAGAGCTATGACTGCACCCCTGCACACCAGCCTGGTTGACAGAGGAAGACCCTGACTCAGAAAAAAAAGACAAAAGAAAAAGGAAACAATTCATAGGAATTGGGAGAAAGCGGTTGTAATTGATCTGTATTGATCTGTGCAACTTTTGAGGATTTCCACTAAATTATAAACTATAAAACAAGATGTTCACCATATTTTAGAAAATACCAATTCATTCCTGCCACAGTGTGGTTTGATTACTCAGAAAGAGCTCTCCCTTGCAGAAATCTCCCTCAAGAGAGGACAAAGGACAGCCAGCCCATCCCCCAGCTGCACCCAAAGAGCTAATAAAAATGCCCACAGCCTCCTCCAAGCCTGGTCAGTCAGAAGGTGTAGATGTTTCTGGAGTCCACTCTGACAAAGGTCTGGCAACCTCTCCCAGTCTCCAGAGACTGAGAAGCAGGAAGGAGGCAATTCTCATGATTTCTTCAGTCTTTTTCGTTGGAAATTAACCATTCCAGGGTCTCTGACTGACAGAAGAAGGCAGATCTGAGCGAGAGATCAGTGGACATCTCAGAAGCAGCAGCAACAAATAGGAAACTGAAGGAGAGTACAGCAAGCCAACAATTATTCCGAAGTTTATACCAGATTCACAACCCTCATTGAGGAACTATGAGAAAGATTCTAAAGCCATCTATGTCCATTTGATTTACTATATTTAAATTTTTGTCGTGTTCTTAATGTTCAAGTGTACATGATTTTAAAAACCACTGCATTTTTGGCCAGGTACAGTGGTTCATGCCTGTAATCTCAGATGTGTGTGCTGTGCCCTACCCCAGTGATTCAGAGGGTCGGGAGAGGGGTCTGAATACTGACTGTGACAGGTGACCAGGGTTAGAATCACCATATCTAATAGGGCCAAGGTTGACATAGCACACACATCGATAAGTAGGACCACTCAATCCACAGACGCTGAAATGAACAGAATTCTTCAGCTCTTTGAAAAGTTCGCTCTGAATTCTGTTCCTTTCTGGATCTTGAGAAACTACCTAAAAGTGTGACCTGCCTGGATTACAATCTCAGCTCTACCACTTACGAGCTAAGTGGTCTTGGCCAAGGGTGCATGACTTCCCATGAAGTTCGCTTTCTTTGCAATACCGTGGGGTAAATAATTACACCAGCATCAGAAGGTAGCTGGGATGACTGCATGGCCTTGAGTATGTGAATTATTTAGCCCAATATCTGGCACATGTGAAGTGTTCAATAAATGCGAGCTATGATTGATGATGATGCAAGTAAACATACGCCAGTTATATTTCAATGAAAGAGATGCTTTTCTAGACCTGGTGCTTATTTCTACGGCCAAGTTTTAAAGGAACTGTGAGACCAGCCATAGTGGTTCACACCGTTCAACCCAGCACTTCAGGAGGCCAAGGTGGAAGGATCGCTTGAAGCCAGGAGTTGGAAACCAGCCTGGGCAACACAGCGAGATCTCGCTTCTACAAAATAATAAACAAACAAGCAAACGAATAAAGAAAGGAACTGTGAAGAACTGGAATGTGAGAGACCTAGAAACAATTTCACCTACAGAATGACTGAAGGAAGACAGAATTCACGATCAGAACAAGAGAAAACTGAGACGGCACATGGTCCTGTCTTCAGATGTAAAGATCGGGTCTGAGAGCAGTTAGCCTGATACTATGTATTTCTAGAGCAAGAGTCTTTTTTTCTGACTTGGAGTCTCACTCCGTCGCCCAGGCTGGAGTACAGTGGCATGCTCATGGCCATCGCAACCTCAATCTGATGGACTCAGGCGATCCTTCCGCCTCAAGCCTTCCAATAGTTGGAACTACAGGCATGCGCTACCACGCCCGGCTAATTTTTTGATTTATTGTAGAAACGAGGTCTCACCATATTGCCCAGGCTGGTCTCGAAGCTGTGGGCTCAGGTAATCCTCTCGCCTCAGCCTCCCAAAGTGCTGGGATTACAGGCTTGAACCACCACACCCAGCTAGAGCAAGATTCTTGAAGAGGGAGACAGAAGATAGAATTCAGAGGACCTGGAAATTTGAATGAGGGTAAAAATATTTTTTCATCAATCTCAAATTAAAATTTGGCACAGCAATCTGGATGGACTTAGAGTCTATGATACTGAGTGATCTTTCACAGAAACAAAGAATTATCACATGTTCTCACTCATAAGTGGACCTTGAACAATTATCTTAATACTATAAGAAAAGGATTGACAGTAGCGGGAAACTGCCAGGAGGGGGGCGGGGAAGTGGAATTGGTAGTCATGGGAATCTGCCTGGGGAAGGGGGGCATACCTCATCAACAAGGGTATCTGCCTAAGGAGCATTTGTATGCCTAACCCTGAATTTTACCCCACATCTTTAAAATAAAAAATAAAACTTGGCATTTCCTTCAATTATATATATAGGCAACAAATCTCAGTAGTAGTAACTGTGATCTCCTCACCCCAATCACAGACATTTCCATATTGTACAGTTGTGACAGACAGCCTAAGTGATTAGTGATATCGAGGGTGACCAACTGCCCTGGTTTGCCCAGGACTGAGGAGTTTTCCAGGACCTGGGATTTATGGTGCTAAAATCAAGACAGTCTCAGGCAAACAATTCCCTACTCCTTTTCATCACTAAGTCATCCATCAGTATGGGAGGATTGGTTCCAGGACAGCCCCCCACTTCCGTGGATACCAAAATTCAAGGACACTCAAGTCCCTTATATAAGTATCCTCCTGTATACCTTAAATCTTCTCTAGATTACTTACAACTCCTAATACAATGTATGTGCTATGCAAATAGTGCTATATTGTCTTGATTTTTTAATTGGTATTATTCTTGTTGATATATATGTATTTTTAAACACATTTTCAATGTGCAGTTGGTGGAATCCATGGATATGGAACTTGTGGATATGGAGGGCCAACTGTACTCTAAAATGATGGTAGCTATCACATCACTACATACCACTATTTAGTGCATTAATAAAGAAGCAGCTAAATTGCAATATCACAATTTCAAAAAAAAACTTGATAGATGGATATCAACATAACCTGTCCTTTATGATGCTTTCTATCCCATTTGATTCCTTTAAAAGTATTGTTCTAAGTCCACAGACTTCCTCTCTTTACCAAAGAGAGCCATGGCACAAAATAATTTAAAAGAAAAGGAACTGGGACCACTGGTTGGGGAATGTCGAAAACCAGAATTCAGTTCCTGTAGGTCTGGAAATCTAAAATCAATAATGAACTATACCGTAGAAGAGGATCCAGGCATTTATCTTCAAAGGACACAGAGAAGCAATGGATGAAGTCATTTTTCCACATTAGGAAACTTTCTTAATTCCTCCACTTCCCATAATACATGTATGTGTATTTTGCGACTGACTAATATTGTTGGAATATCAGCTTAATCTCTATAGCTATCAACTGGAGCATTTATTTTCCAATAACCACAAATGTTTACCCTAAGAATCACAATCTGACAGATCTAAACATTTTCTATGAATTAAGACAATGGAAATTTGGATTTTTAAGAAAAGCAAGTTTAGGATGGATTTAGAGTCGATCATACTCAGTGATCTAGCACAGAAACAAAGAACAGAGTACAATATGTTCTCACTCATAAATGGACCTTAAACAATTATAATACTTATAAGAAAGTGATTGGCAGTAGTGGGAAACTGTCGAGAATGGGCGTGGGATTGGCAGTTGGGGGAAAATGCTAGGGGAGGGAGGGCATACCTCATCAACAAGGGTACCTGTATAATCAACGTCTGTATACCTAATCCTGAATCGTACCCCACATTTTTATAATAAAAAAAAGAAAAGCAAATTTAAAGAAATGATAAGAAGAAACATGAACTCTTACCAGATACCACTGGGCCTCTGAGGGACACCGGCTCACTCCTTGCCTTATCTCCACCACCGACAGAGGGTCCATTACTCTCCTCCAAGGCAGTAAGAGACCATTTTTCTTCTGATCAATGTAACTCCAAGCAACCAGCCCAATGTGGCCAGAAGGCAGAGTCCTCACAATGGCTCTTGTCCCAGTATACACAGATTTCTTAATTTCCCTGTCATTTTTACAAAATCTCCTGACTAACAAAGTGGACCTCTCCTTTTTGCTTTTAAAAGAGTCTTCTTCTAAATCGTCACAATTATCAGGGATGTCCTCAAAATGGCTCAAAAAGGTTTTGGCAGGTGGACTATCAGTAAAATCTTCCCTGCAAAAGCTACCGCTTGAACATACCATGTCGAGCTTCCTGCAAGAGCCTTCAAAGCACACATATTTCTCATTCAGAGTGTCACAGTGATCACACTGCAGTTGCCCATTCTCATTGTCACAGTTTTCAGCCAACTCCATCAGTTTACAAGTATATGCCACGTAGTTTTTCTTTCGCTTCCCACCAACATCAGGCAGTGGCACACAATTTCCACAATCATCCAAAATTACATTTTCCGATAGGGCACAGAAAGTGTCTGACATTCTTTCGTCAACTTCATAATGAAAATGAAATACTGCCATGTTGCTGTCTGGGTGTGCTCTGCCAGTCTCTATAATCGTTGACTGATTTTCTAAAGGACTAATGCCCAGGGGAGGCTCATCTATTTCCAGTTGAATTCCAGGGAACACCTTTCTTTCCAGGGGAGAAGGAATTCCAGTTTCCAAACACAGGTCTTCCTCTGCGACAGAGTTGCACGTTTCATAAAACTGGTTCTGAGGAAGGTCATGCTGATGGTTTCTCAATATGTTGTTGCAGTTAATGTTAAGGTTTTTCACAGAGTCTGGCATGCTTTTCCCCCAGGAATTTTCGTTACTGTTCTCATCACTCATGATTTTCTCGCTTGCTATTGAGGGAATCTTGGGCAAGTTGCTTCCAGAAGATTCTTCTTTAAGTTTGTTCGGTTGTGAGATGATGTGAGAGGTCTGCCCACTCTGCCTGATAGCATGTGCCTTTGGAATATTGATATCGGAGACATTTTCACTACTCTCATCTGCAGCTGACGGGGCAGAAACGGCTTTTCTCTGAGTCTTGGGTATGAGGACAGAAGCTGCCATTTCTTCAGAAGTCATTTTGGACCAACACAAGTTTCAACTATTTCTCTGTTTGTCTTCCCTGGTGATCATGTCAGGATGTTTATAAAGTGACTGATAATTTAAATAATCTCAGATATACAAATCTTTCTAAGAAGCAAAGTGACAATTCTTCATTCAAGTTATTAAGAGCCAAATAAATGTTTCCAGTTATAGGTTCCTATCATAAATTTTTTTTTCTACAAAAGGGTCTTAAGGCAATAGATAAGTTTTCTTTCCTCTGTTATTTGAAGCAAAATGTTTTGAAGACTTCTATTCAGTGCATTTTGCAACTTCTGTTTCATCGTTGATCTGAAATGATTTTAAAATCCAGCTTGAATGTTTCCTGTAAGAAAAGGGATAATGTCAAATATTGGGGAATTTAAATGAGGTTTTTTTTTTTAAAATAAGTTTTTAATTCTAAGCTATCAGCCAATTTTGAGAAAGAAGTTTTGCGATCAGAAGTTAGTTTTTAAGGTTTCAAGCATTTATTTTTCTGATTTAACATCTCAGAACTTTTGCTTCCAGGAAAAATAGGACCAGATTTGTCTTCTCACTTTAAATAACAACAGAAAAAAAATCAGAAAAAAAGAAACAATGGTTTTCAGACATTGAACAACAGGCAACACAGAAGAGTGATCTCTGCAAGAAGAAAATAGACAGGCCTATAAAATCCCTAGCTTACTGTTTAGAGAGTTTCTAGACCACGGGGCAGGGAAGAGAACTCAGATAAAAGCCAACATTCTATCCAAGTCAAATAAAAAAATGACTTCAGGGAGGCCAAGAAAGCTATAGCAATAAGATCATTAAGTAAAAAGGAGCAAAATAAGAATAACAACAGACTTCTAATCAGAAAAAATACAAGCCAGAAGAAAGTGAAGCAAATCTTTAAAGTACTAAAAGAAAAAAAAAAACTGTCAACTTAGAATTCTATACCCAGCAAAAATGTCTTCTGCAAATGAAAATTAAGTAAAAACATCTTGAGACATACAGGGTTGAAAGAATTCATCACTAGTGGGCCTGCACTACAAGAAATTATAAAGAAAGTCCTTTAGGCAGAAGGAAAATGATACTAGATAGAATGTGCATCTGTGTAAAGAAATGAAAAGCCTTAATATATCAAATATGTGGGTAAATACAGTATCTCTTATTTTTAAAACCACTTAACAAAAAAATTGACATTTAAAGCAAAAATAATGACAACGTATTTTGGGCTTTCTAACAAGTTGTAGAAGTAAAATGTATGACAACAATCATATAAAGGTGAAGAGAGGGAAAATGAAATTATATTGTTGTAAGGTTATTTCCTATATGAATAAGTATAGTATGACTTACAGGTAGATTGTGATAAGTTAAAAATGTATACTACAAATTTTAAAGCAACCATTTTAAAAAAAGAAATAGGTTTGCATACCTAAACCTGAATTGTACCCCACACCTTTAAAATAAAAAATAAAAATAAATAGGTAAAATTATCTCAGGAATAAATAGAATCACAAAAATGCTCAAATAATTTTTAAAATGAGAAAAAAATGTGAATCAAGACAGATTAGAAAAATAGGAATCTAATGGTAGATTTAAATATTTAAAAAAGCATCTTCAGACAATTTCCAGGGTTTTTTTCTGCCAAAATATAATATTTTAACTCCCTCTTCCTTCTGTTTCATTTGATTAAGAAGCTATCCAATTGAATAGTCAGTAGCCATAAAAATTTTTGATTTATAAATGGTATTATGTTTTTAAAAAATACTTTGCTGATCTTTATTCTCCAAACAGATTACTGAATATTTGATCTACACTGAGTACTATGTGATTGGCTAGACAGCTGGTAGCTGCCTGCAGTTCTATTAATAGACAGGAGGGAACCAAACAAACTTCCATTCAATGCAGGAAGTGCAATTACAAAGGACATACGAAGCCCTATGGGACTAGAGTGTGCCTATCATGAGTATACCATTCCTTAGTAGGTGAAACTGTTCCTCCCAAGGCAACTGATCAGCAGTCATGCTCTGCTGTCAACACCAGCTTTGCCTTGTTGTTGCCCCTGCCCTTGCCCTTAGCCACAGAGATGTCTCTCTTCCCCTTGCTTCTCCTGAACCTCTTTTCCCAAAGAGTCATCGACCACCCCTTCTTCCCTTATATACATGTTCCCTTAAGCACAGACATAGGTCTCTCACCACCTCTCAACACATGCAGACCTCCACAACTACCTGAAGGATGAGAAGACACCCTAGCAGTCAGATTCTTCACAAGGAATAGACCACACCACACAGATGAGCAATGTCCTAGCTCAATATCCCAGCTCTAATGTCCTCCTTTCAATTTGCTTTCTTTGGGCTTTTCTTTGGAAAATGCCTCTATTGTTTTTATAGGTATATGCTCAGTGTAAAAAAAAAATTCAAATGATGCAGAAAATAACAACCACTTTGGAGTTGGACTTCCTTACCTGAAAAAATAGAAATAAAATCACCTACTCCATCAGGTTGTGAATTTGAAAACCAAAATTCAGGGCAAATGTTTGTCATCCTATGCTTTGTAAATATCTTGGTGAAACAAAACCACCAAGGTTCAGCAGCTCTATTGCTTCAATATCGTGATGTTGAATTTACTTTGCCAGACACATACACTCTCTTCATCAGATCCACTGAAATTTTAATTTTAGTTCTATAGCTCAGATCAACTCTTTCAATCTCAGCTGCATGACCATGAATTGGTTAAATTGTAAATTTTGAGTTATACTTTCAACATGTATAATATTGAGATGAAATATACATATTTGAAATGCCAGCAGTGGCTGGCCCATCAGTAAATGTTGATTTTCTATTTACCTCCTCTTGGGCAGCCCTAGGTTGTCTTTAGGAGAAGTTGGTTGGATTAGGTTAGGGTTAGATTTATAATGAATATGAGACTACTGGAGAAAGAACACCTGAAGCTCTGAATGAAGACCATCCTCTAACAGGTTTGAAGAAGAAAAGGACAGAAAAAGGGATTCTTCTTTTCTTAGGGTGGGTAGATTTGTCAGGGAGATTGAAGAAGGGCCAGCCTAGAAGGGGACAAGCCAGGTGTAGGCTAAGGATATGGCAGAACCAGAAGGGACTTGTCAAGGTAGCATGTTCAAGCTAGAGATATTTTAGGATACATAATATGACTCAGGAAATGACTGACCAAGAAGTTGAGCTACAAAGATGTAGGAAGTGCTAGAAATCCTAACCAAAGTATTAAGACAAGAAAAAGAAATGAAAGGCAAAAGAAGAATCGAGAGTAACATCAAGTCAGTTTTCAGCTTCAGGAGAAGAGAATATCAGCCAGGAATAACATTGCTGATGGGTTTTCATGGGCTAAATCAGGGGCTGGCAAACTATAGCCTGAGGTCCAAATCTGGCTTGACACCTGTTTTTGTAAATAAAATTATATTGGAACATGGCCATGTCTATTTATTTATGTCATGTCTATGACTGCTTTTACATTATAATGGTAGAGCTGAGAAGTTGTAACAGACACCATGTGGTCCACAGAGCCAAAAATACTTACCATCTGACTCTATACAGAAAAAGTTTGTCAACCCATGTGTTAGATATATAATAAGTTAATGAAATGCCTGTTTAGAGCAAGAAAACTAGCTGCCTTCATCTATTCAAAGAATTGAGATGGGGAAATGGGCATGTATCATATTGTCTCAAAATGTGGGAGCAGAGCTAAGACACATGAATTGTTGAGAAGGAAAGCTTTGGATCAGTCTGATAAAGAATCCCCCAACTTTTAGAACTGATCAACAAAGGGTGTGCTATAATGGATGATGGTCTTCTGGCTGCTCATAGAGGCATTTCAACAGTGACATATTATTTAGCATCAGCAATGCTCAATACACACTGAACAAATTAATAGAGTAACTGGATGACTGTCTACCAAGGGTAATTATAAGAAACAATGGCCTAATACTTACTGAACAGGTATCATCTATCAGGCATGTTCTAAGCACAGTATATATAATATCTCATTTAACCGTTACAATAACAGTATCAGTATGGTGGCAGAGACTCCTAATTTCCCCCCAAATCTATTCTCATTTATTTTCCTTAATAATAGAACCTATGAATTGGGGCCAAGCACATGGCCACCATTTTATTAGCCTCCCTTACAGCTTGCTGTGGCTATGTGACATAGTTACAGTTAATGAGATATAAGCAAACATGGTTTGTAACTTCTGAGATGTGTCCTTGAAGGGAGAGTGTGCCCTTCTCTTCCCCCACTTTCTCCTTTCCACTCGTTGGAAGAAAGGCATGATGGCTGGAGCTAAAGCAGCCATCTCAAAGTATGAAGTGAACAAAAGAATGAATGTCACGCATGTCAAGGAAATAAATAAAAACCTGAGCACCTGTTTCCTGGATTTTAGGGGAGAGAAAATAAAAGTGTATCCTATTTAAGCGACCATCATTTTATATTTTATGTCACTCATATCCAAACCTTTTCCTAATTAATAAAGGAGGGTGCTATTATCATGCCCGTTTTATGGATGAGTCCCAGAGCATTTGAGCGACTTATCCAAGAGTTCAGAGACTGACATAACAAGGAAGCTCTACAGAAAATTATGCATTGGGGGACACAATGGTCACTATCTGAGGAATGGGCTACCTGATACCCAATCCCTACCACTACACAATATGTCCATGTAACGAATATGCATGTGTACCCTCTGAATCTAAAATAAATAATACTAATAATAAATTACTGCATTGTTGAGAAAGTTATATTCACTAACTCCTAGAATTTCCCAATTTTATTCTGCTAAGTCAAATGGAATCCTAAAGAATAGTTAAGTTAGAAAAATATTAAATGCAAGCATATTGTCTTTTCTTATGGAAGGTGTTGGAAAGAGATGAAGCTTAACAACAATAACAAAAACTAATTTATCAGATAACTCTGAATTATTTGTTGAGCACCTGTTATATTACTGAGTTCAGAGTGTTAGAAGGTTATGGGCCAGGAGGTCAGTCAAGCTCTGACGGATGGGGGATTTAAGCTGGGACTTTACATACAGTGAGGTAGCAATTAGCTGTATCCGTGGAGAAGAAGAGAGACTTTGAGTAGAGGGAACAGTGTAACAAGAGATGAAGAAGTTAGAAAACAATGCATAACCGCGAATCCATCTGAAAGTGTAAGGGGAACACTTCATCCAGTCAAAGAAAGTGAAAGTCACTCAGTAATTTCACCATCACAGAAGGGAAATACTCAGGTAACTGTCAAAGCTGCTAAGAGAATGTAATAGGTTTATTTGCATCTCTTTTTTTGAATTAGAGTCTCACTCTGTCGCCCAGGCTGGAATGAAATGGTACACTCATGGCCACC